GAAGGGTGGGATATAAATCCAATCTCTTTTCTCTTCTTCTTCCTCCACTCGCAGCTGCTGGATGACCTTGGGCAAGCCACAGTTCTGATAAGAGCTGTCCTTGAAAGAGCAGTCTCTGTCAGAGCTCTCTCAGCCCCGTCTACCTCACAGGGTGTCTGTTGTGGGGAGGGGAAGGGAAAGGAGTTTGGGAGCCGCTATGAAACTCCAAGTAAAGGGCGGGGTATAAATCCAATCGCCTCCTCCTCTTCCTGTCTCCTCCCCCACCCCCCCGAATGGCCTGCCCAAGGACACCAGGAAGGCTCCCGCTATCCTGGCTTTCTGCAAACTGTGCAACACTGAATGATCCGAGAGGGCTTTTCCATGCAGGCAACGGGGTTGCACTCTACCAAATGATTCACAAAGCTGCTCGGATAAATGATTAAGGACTGCAGCCAATACTGCTGTGTATAGCTGTAAACAGGACGTGATTATGTAATTCTGGCATCAATTAAGGCATCGTATTAATACTTATACTTTGCTTCAGTTCTCTCTTTAAATTTCTGGTTGGTTCAACAATTGCATAGTTTACTGGGTGCCCCTTCCTGTAGATCAGGGGTGTCGAACTCATTTGGTATGAGGGCCAGATCTGACATAATGAGTCCTTGTTGGGCCGGGCCACGTGTGTCATCAAATGGAATGCCAGGTAGCAGAGATTTAAACTTTATAAAGGACACAAACACAAAGTGTTACTTAAAATAAAAACATGCTTCAAAGATTAGCACTCTTGCAATATTTTGTTTATTGAACAGTGTCTGATAACTGACACCTCTTGCTCTGAGTTATTGCATCAAAATGTCTGTGCTGTTGCAGTCTTGAGTGTGCTGTTCAGGTGTGTATCTGTGAGCTGCAAACCTAGATTGACGCAGCAGCAGCAGAACTGGAAGAAGAAGCAGAAGACAGCCAGTTCCGCTGTGGGCCTGAGAGAAGCCCTCCGGAGGCCTGATGCGGCCCCCAGGCCGCACGTTTGACACCCCTACTGTAGACTGTACTGACTCACTCTGCGGCATCCACCTTGAGTCCCAGGGAGAAAGGCATACTATAAAAAAATGTAGTGAAATTAAAAACTGATGCTATATTCAAACGGTCACTCTTAAGGATGCCATGAGGACTCTTTAGTGTTTCAAGCCAGTTCGACTTGCATGGCTTGCCACAGGAAATGGACCATTATAGGACTCTTAAGATTGCCAGCAGTCTAGGAACTCCCAGGACTGTCACTTCAACAATTTCATTTTAGAAAAGAAGGGGGGACATGATAAGAGGTTTATAGAATTACGCATGGAGTGCAGAGAGCTGACAAAGAGAAATTTGTCTCCCTCTCCCAAAATATTGGAACTCGAGGGAATCCAATGAAGCTGATGGGCCGTAGGTTCAGGACAGACAAAAGGAAATACTACTTTACAAAGAGAGTGATTAAACTGTGGAATTCACTGCCAGAGGATGTAAATGAGGGCCACAGGGATAGACAGCTTTTAAAGGGGGATTAGACAGATTCATTGAGGATGTCAGTCAATAGCTACTCGCCATGGTGACTGAAGGGAACCTCCACATTCAGTGGCAGTCAACCTCTGAATCCCAGAGCCAGAACACAACATCAGGGGAAGGCCTCGGCCTCTCTGTCCTGTTGTTGGACTTCCTCCAGAGGAACTGGTTGGCCTCTGCGTAAGACAGGATGCTGGACTAGATGGACCACTGGTCTCATCCCGAAGGGCTCTTATGTTCTTATAATTTGCAGTTCTGCACTGATGACCGCAGGCATGCTAAGACAACCTCTACAAAAGTATGCTACTTTTTGCCATCCAGAGATCAGATGTTTCCTAATCTTGGAACATGCTTCTAGAATCTGCAACATGCTTGGAAACATGTGTCCCAAAATATAGCCTCATACGCAAACTTTGGAAGTGTTGGAAGAAAAACAGAATAGAAAATTCTAAATTTCTCCCCCCCCCTTCTCCGTAGTACTTTTTCTTATCTTTCTATGAAACCAATTAAAAAAACTTTTATAACTGGAAATTAGAATTGGGAAAGAAAAACAGCAGGTTATAAGAGGAGAGTGAAAATAACCCGGGTATCTGCGCATCCGATCTGGGGAATCCAAGCGTTTGGAAAGAGCAAGAAGTCCCGCCTCTCCCTCTACAAAAGTATGCTACTTTTTGCCATCCAGAGATCAGATGTTTCCTAATCTTGGAACATGCTTCTAGAATCTGCAACATGCTTGGAAACATGTGTCCCAAAATATAGCCTCATACGCAAACTTTGGAAGTGCTGAAAGAAAAACAGAATAGAGAATTCTCTGTGGTACTTTTTCTTATCTTTCTATTAAACCAATAAAAAAAACTTTTATAACTGGTAATTAGAATTGGAAAGAAAAACATCAGGTTATAAGAGGAGAGTGAAAATAACCCAGGTATCTGCGCATCCGATCTGGGGAATCCAAGCGTTTGGAAAGAGCAAGAAGTCCCGCCTCTCACCTACCTTGACCGTGTTGTGTATTTCCGCCATCATCAAGTGTCTCGCGGTCACGATTACGTCCTGGCACTTCTTATCGGCAAAGTGGCGATCGACGTTGCGGGCATACGTCAGCAGGTCCGTGGAATCCTCCTTTAAAAACCGCATGTCCTTCAAGGCTCGCTCAAACTGCTCCGTGGCGTTAATAACCTGGAGGGAGCAGACAGTCAGCCAAGGAGTGCGACTGAAGGGGGTGTGTGGAGAACGGAGGCCTCAGGGGGCTGGGGGGTGTCCCTACCCTATGGGTTTGGGATGCACACTTTAAAAGAAGAAGAAGAAGAAGAGATTGGATTTATGCCCCACCCTTCACTTGGAGTCTCAGAGCGGCTTACAAACTCCCTTCCCTTCCCCTCCCCACAACAGGCAGGGGAGGCTGAGAGAGCTCTCTCGAGAACTGTCCTTGAGAGAACAGCGCTGAAAGAACTTGTGCCCGACCCAAGGTCACACCAGCAGGTGCAAGTGGAGGAGTGGGGAATCAAACCCGGTTCTCCCAGATTAGAGTCCGCGCACTTAAGCACTACTACGCCTAACTGGTATGAGTCGCTCCGCAACTTGAAATACACACGTGTGAAGATGTCTTCTACTGAATCAGAACTCCAGTTCATCCAGGCCAGTATTACCTACTCGGACTGGTGGCAGCTCTCCAGGGTCTCAGGCTGAGGTCTTTCACATCACCTCCTACCAGATCCTTTTTAACTGGTGATGCTGGGGATGGAACCCGGGACCTTCTGTCTGCAAAGCAGAGGCTCTTCCGCCGAGCCCCGCCCCCCTCCCCAGCTCCAAGCAAGGATTCTTCTCCCTCGAACATCGCAGGCCTGCCTGTACCCCGACACGGCAGCTGGAACTTTAGCAGGAATCACAGCCCCGGACAGGGGCGATAAAGAACACGGTGAGGTTCACACCGCGGCCGCCCTGACCACATCCTGCCCCAGATCGGAACACACCACGCATGGAGCGATATGGATAGAGGGTGCCGCACACCTCGATGTACTGCCCAAGTTTGCTGCTGCTGTTTGGAATCGAATGCACCAAGCAGTGGTACGTCAGGCAGTCGGAGAGCTCCTTCCAGATGGCCTCGCCCAGCGCCTCCGCCAAGACCGGCCCGGCGTCACTCTCGTCTTCGGAACGGGGGTCGGGGGGATCAGCTGCAACAAACAGACGAGCGCGTGACTCAGAACGCTCTGCCTCGAAACACCCACGGCTGCTCCGACGCAGACAAGCAGGAGGGAGCCCGCCGTCCCGTCCCCCCCCGATAACCCCCTGTCCTTCGGCACTCAGAGGCACTGTCCCCTCCCTGCCGGACGGCTCCGTTTGAGAAGCCTCCGGCACGTCTTCTTTGTGAGTCGCTCTTGTGACCTGTCCCGGACCAGCGCTCCAAAGAGCCTGACGCTCCGTACCCAACAGCTGCTTGTGGAGAACCTCGAGCACGAGCTGGAGCTTCACGAACACCTCCACGGGGGATGGGGGCCCCGGCGGGGTGCCCACAGACTCTAACCGCAGCGCGACGGCATTGGACTGCTCCTGCAGTGCGGGCTGCAACGACGGGTAACAGACCAATGGCTTGAGGATGTAGCTCAGCAGGAGCTGGCCTGGCACAAGAAATGGGGGGGGGGGAGAGAGACAGTGGTCAGAACCCAGGCACAAGAGGGGCATGCAAGGAGGCCTGTGGGTGGCCTTGCCCTACGGGTGCTGGGGGCCCTCCTCTGAACCCGCCTGGCCCGATTCCCTCAGGCTTTACTCATTTATTTAAAACATCTCTTAGCTGCCTTTCCTACTTTGTAGAACTCAAGGTGGCTTAAGGTAAAGGTAAAATAAAGGTTTCCCTTGCTTGGAAGCCAGTTGAATCCGACTCTAGGGTTGCAGTGCTCATCTCCATTTCAAAGCCGAAGAGCCACCGCTGTCCGAAGACGTTCCCGTGGTCAATGTGGCCGGCGTGACTAGACACCGAGGCGCACGGAATGCTGTTACCTTCCCACCGAAGTGGTACCTATTTATCTACTTGCAATTCCTTGCTTTTGAACTGCTAAGTTGGCAGGAGCTGGGGCCGGAGACGGGAGCTCACTCCATCATGTGGCACTCGGGTCTTGAACCGCTGAACTACCGACCTTCCAGTCTGCAGCTCAGCGTCTTAACCTCTGAGCCACCGCGTGGCTTACCATGCGACTAAACCAACAATGACAAAAAAAAAACACCTAAAAGACTACAGATTTCACAGCTCCAGTTAGGACTGCCAGTAAATAAAAGCTAAGTTAGTCAATAAACTGCCTTCGGCTGCCTCCTGAAAACCGGAAGTGAGGGGGCCAGGCGCACCTTCCTGGGGGGGTTGTTCAACAACAGCGGGGCTGCCACCGAAAAGGCCCCCTCGCGTGTGCCCACCAGACGAGCTTCTTTGATTGGTGGAACGGTCAGGAGGGCCCCTCCCTGTGATCTGAGTCCCCAGGCAGGAACAGATGGGAGGAGACGGTCGCTCAGATACCCCGGCCAAGGGAGGCTTCCAAAGGACACCCCCCAACACCTCGGCAGCAGGGAATTAAACCACCAGGTGGGCTTTATCCACCTTCACACACAGTGTTCCCTCTAAGCTGAGTTAGTGTGAGCCAGCTCAGAGTTTTTTAGCCTCTGGCTCCCACATTTTTGCCTTAGCTCAGGAAGGAGGGCTCCGGAGCACACTAATTTATGCAGCAGCCCAATCGCTCGCTCACAACTTTGATGCCAGTGGCTCACAAAGCAGAATCTTTGCTGACAAGACTCTGCAGCTCAGAGGGAGCATTGTTCACACACCCGTCCAAGCAGAGAGGCCGTCCAGCACTGGCTTCTCTCCCCCACCCAACCTGTGGCCAAGGAGACCATCCCAAGCAGGGTGTGTATGTGTCACTGATGCTACAACAGGCAGCCACAGCAGAATCCCAGAAGCCTCACCGTGGCCCAGAGAACACGGTGCCAGCTCTGACCGGCAGGGCATAAAAAGGGGATGGCTGAAATGCCAGCAGACATCCTGCAAGTAGCAGGAAGGGCCCCCGCCTGCTGCTTTTGGATCAAGAGAACGCTGACAGCTGAGCGAGGCACGGCTCCACGGAACGCGGGGTGGGTTCAGAGGCCGGGTGCTTTGCAAACAATCAGACTGACACCCACAGTTGAGAAACGGCCGCTGTGACCGAACATGACATACCAAAGACCTTAAACCTGTAGCGGAGCTCGCCCAGGATTGCAAGCCCCCGCAGCACCGACGTAGCGGAGGGGCCGACCCCCGCGTCCTCCCCGGGGAGCGCTCTGTGCAGGCGCAGCTCTGTCTGTAAGGCCGACTCCAGGCTGCCGGGTTCTAAGCAATGAAAGAAGAAGAAGATACGGGATTTATACCCTGCCCTTCACTACCCAAAGGGGTCTCAGAGTGGCTTACAATCTACTTTCCCTTCAAGCCCTCCCCACAACAGCCTGTGAGGTAGGCGGGGCTGAGAGAGCTCTGACAGAAACAGCTCTTTTTCAAGGACAGCTGTGCCATTGTTGTTCTTGTTGTTCTTGTTGTTACTACTATTACTATTATTATTATTTACTACACAGTAAAGTATAGTTGTGTACTTGTTCAGGGGAGTAGAATGCCAGGAATATCCACGTCTGCCAACGTCTTTTGCTGGTGGCTGGCTGGATCTGAACCTGGGCATCTTCTGCTGAAACACCTTGCGGTAAAGCTCAACATTGCTTTATATACACAGAGCAGAAAACCAGCAGAGGTTTGTCCACTTGGTCACTGGCTCCAGTCAAAGGGTGAGTCAAGCTAGAGACAGCGAAGGCAGCTGAATCGTAGCCACTCACACCTCGGCCCACACGGGCCCATCCAACCACAACGGCAACCCACAAGCAGTTCCAAAAAAGGAAGCCTCCAGAGTCCATCCGGCAGCGACAGGATGCAAACCCCCTTTCTCAGCAGCTATCCACTGTCACACACTCTGGACTCTCAGGATAAAACCAGCACAAAACCTTTAACAGGCAAGGGATAGAGATGTGAAGGCCCAGAAAAAAACCGGAAAAACTCGGGGGGGAAACGTTTTCCCACCGTTTTTTCCCCTGAAGCCATCTTCCCCTCCGAAAAATTGGAAAAATTTAAAAAAGAAAACAAAAATTGATTATGGAACATTTTATTTTAACACGATGAATAAAATATTTTAAGACAAGGTATTCAAATATTTTCCAAATCATTTCTAAAAAATATGTATGGTATCAGATTGATCTAATTTCTGTGCACTGAGGACAAGCAAGTCCTGGGTTACAAACTGAACTCTCCGATGCAAGAACAAGATGCATTTCTTCCTTTAGGAGGTGCTATTGTCACAAGAAAAAAAAAAGGTTTCAGTTGAGTTTTTGCATGTGGGTTGGTATTCTGTTTGTAATAATTGTTTGGATATACTATATTTTTATAGTATGTCAAGTAAAAATGTCCATAGTCATATTTTATGTTCCTAAAGTAACAGAATGACTTCCAATCTGGAAAAGAAAAAAGAAGTGCTAATGTAGATTTTTTCCCCCCAATTTTCCCGAAAATTTCTGTTTCCCCTGGAAAAAAACCAGGTTTTTTTTCCGAGCTTCAAAAGTTCCGCAAATTTGACATCTCTAGCCCTAGCTGGGAAAGAGGGCCTCGGATGGCCTGCACAACTGGGCAAACTGTTCCAAAGAGCCACAACTGTTGCTTTAAAGGAGTGAGCCATAGGGGGGGGGGGGGTCAGGCAAAGGGCTCTGAGAGAGGCCCTGAGGAGCCATTCAGCCAGTGCGGGAGAACTTCCTGGCCCGGTCCAGTTGAACGGCCTCTCCCAAGGCCTTGAGAGCACCAACAGGCTTTCCGGCACAGCCCCGAGTCACCAAAGGCACAACCGCCTTACCTCATGACGCAGTAGGTGTCCACCAGGCCTTGGAAGTTGTGAGGGAAGGTGATGGCGTAGGACACAAAGGCCGCCCGCTCCCCGCGGTTCACTCGCTCCAGGGGGACTTGGAGTAACTGGCAAACCTTGCCGAGCCAAGACTCCACGAGGGAAGGAAAGTCCACCGGCTCCCCTCCGCCACACAGGGGCCGCAGGACCTGTGGGGATTAAATGGAGGGATCACTCAGCGATCTGTGCCGCCATCTTGGAATCCTCAACAGAATTACCTCCAGGTTCTTCCTGTCATTTGGTGCAACAGTTGCCTCCTTTTCTCGACAATCATTTTTTTAAAATTAAATTTTTAATTAATTTTAAGTTACAAAACAGGAACAACAATAATATAGAAAAATAGTCATAAAAATGGCAGCTAGTAAACAAATGCGGTTTGAATTACATAAAGTGAACAACTTCGTAATACTTGTTTGGTACAGAATAACCTGAAAATATGTCGTCAT